GCATACAAACGAATATATTAGACAAGCCCGATTGGCGACAAATCGCTGTTAAAAACGGTCCTTCAGTACGGATGCTAGAACTAAAAAAAAAACCTAAATTTTACAATTTTAAAAAAATTAATAATTGCGTGAAATTGCCACTCAATCGCTAATTCCATCGTTTATTAAGATCACTTAACTACTCAAATGCTCCGAGTTGGCTGGAAACGCTATGGAAAATAAACCTTAAAAACTCACGCAAAAAACTAACATATGAGAGCCTCGATTTAAAAATTGCCCGGGGTTTTTCAAAAGTGCCACTTATGGCCCAATTGCAACACTTTTTAAAGGTGGGTACTTTCCTTCACAAAATAGCATAGAAATGCACTTATTATATGGACTAAATTGGCGAGAAACCGCAGCAGATCATACTGCCAAAAATTAAAAAAGACACTTTTCCTTTTATAATGCCATCAAAACTAACTACTCAGATGCTCTGGATTTCTGCAAGCTGTAACTGGCACAGAACACAGGTCCACTTAAAATTGTTTGCAAAAGTGCCACTTAAAAACCAAACACGGCGCTTTCCTTCACAAAATGGCATAGAAATGAACTTTTCAGATGAACTGACTAGGAGGGAAACCGCTGTTGAAAATTAACCTTCACTGAGGATACAACCAGTAGGTAAAAGACGACAAAAATTGAAAAATTCGCGAAAAATTCCATAAAAACGCGCGCGGGGTTGACCGTAAAAATCTGTCGAGAATAAACCTTGAAGGCTGACGACGCAACTTAACATATGAGACCGTAGATTTTAAAAATGGCCCAGGGTTTACCAAAAGTGCACTTAAGGCCCAATTACGGCACGTATTAAGGGTAGTTTCCTTTATAAAATGGCATACAAACATGTAAAACGCTGTTAAAAATGTTTCTTTAGGACGCAAATCCTTCGTTGAAAAAATGCAAGAAAAACGCAACTCAATTCTCAATAGTACAGTCAATTAAGAACACTTTGTTGTTGAAAACAAGATTAAACTTAACCATAAAAGTATCTAAAAAAAGAGCCAATTTGAGACTTGAAACATCGACAACCGTTAAAGAAAAGTTCGGCAAAATCCTGCAAAACACAAAACACTCAATGGCCAATTGCACTGTAGCTTAAGCAGAGTGTTCTCTGCAAAATTAACCGCTTGTTTTAAGAAGAAAGACTGAAAATGGGCCTTGAGAATGTTGGCGATTCAGTGACTCAAGAGACCATTACAAACGTTGAGCAAAAACCATGCCATCATCCACTTCTAGTCGACGTTGGCAGGCGCATATTAAGCCTGCAAATGTTTGCATTACTAATTTGCGATTGATACTTATTGAAAAAGTTGTCGACATTCCTTTGCATAAGTAACCGGTTGCAAAATGGGTTTTCTATGGGAATGTCGGCGCTTGCGACACACGCTCCACCGCGTTTTTTTTTCACTCTTCAGCTGGAAAATATCTTTGAGGGGCCACAAAGTGCGACAACGGGTCAGTGGAACAACGCAACGCAAAGCGAGAGAGAAAACTTAAAAGCAATTGTTCAAATGGGGCGAGGGCGACAAAACAACCCCTTCGCTTGCACAAAGGCAAACCTTATTCATTATTTACGAATAATGGCACCTGTTTTATGAATACGTGCGCGTCTAGGCGCGATGGTGTTTTGTTACCACAGTCAGGTATTTAACTTTTCATAAAGGTCACAACAATGGAATTTAAAACTGATGAAGTGCGCATTGCCAGCCTCCGCAGGTGAATTTAGAGAGAAAAATTATCCGAATAATGCGAAGGAACTAGACGAGGTGCTTTTGCATTATAGATGTGGCCTGGCTTTGCCCAGTTTGCTGATTACTTTCGTCCCCCCAAGTTGGAAAACAAACACACGACCCTCCGATGAAATGGACAATCGATATACTGTCCCTTTGACAATGAAATTTTCACCATGCCATATTATTAGATTCCGAGCTCGAACGAAAGAAAATGTCGGCAGCATGTTGTTGCTCCCTCTTCGTTTCCCTTCCATGTCCATTCAGCTCGGAATTGAACTCAGCCACACGCATCGCGCCCACGTTGCCACGTTTATTTCCACCATTTTTTGTCCAAGAACACCAAAACGAGCCCCATCAATTAACACAATTAACGCAATTAAAACCGTGAAAAGAAATCCACTCACTCATAGAGCTAACACCCCTCCTAAGGCCATAAATCTCTCGAATCTGAATAATGGGCCTTCTGTGGTCTGGGTTTTTGACCCCCTGTCACTGGGCGCCCTTCTGCACTTGGTATAAGAAAGAACCCTTAGTTGGCCGGCTTTACAGCCATTCACTCCATGACCATTTCGGTTTTCAAAGGTTTATTG